CAACTTGTCTCTTCTTCAAGGTTGGGTATGCATAGAGGGAATTAGGATTTCGTTATTCAGTCTGGGTACGCGCTTAAGATAAGATCTCACAATGGAGAAATGTATATGTCCCATTTGGCATAGATAGAATCATTCCTGTTAAAAAGGTTAAAAATAGGGCCTCTTTTGATAAGATAAGAGTTCCTTTATTCATCCCACAGTGGGGAACTTTCAATGTTGCAGCGCACAGACAGGACAGTAGTAAGAGCACACACGGAGTACACAAAATATACAAAAAAGTATAAGCTCTATCACTTAACCATCTGTAAATGCTGTAAATGCTTCGATACCAGTCTTTCAAAATAAAATATATACATGTAGTAGTGCAGAGTTATATACTGTACATATAGTGCAGGATAAGAAGTAGATAAGTAAAGTGACATTGTTCAGTGACATTCTGAAGGAGCAGTATTGCACATTGCGCATGATTTAGTATTTACTTATTTATAGACTCAGCAGTTCTCTTTGTACAGTCTGACAGCAACGGAACCTCTCCTTCACACAGCGAGGTGCAAGATATGATACATGATGTACACAAAATATTAAAACGATTTAGTTATATATTGAGTGACAAGGTTAAATGTCTTTTATTTTGACATCCAAACAAACCAAATGCAAGGCTGACATAAGGCTATTTGACTTTGAGAGGGGAAGAAAACATACAGGTCCCATGTTTGTTTCTGTGTGTTTGTGCATGCGTTTATTTACATTTCTTGACTTAAGGAACATCATGTACACTAACAATTACCAATACCTACTTAGCGGTAAAACAAAAAAGTAGCCGTCATTAATTGATAAGGTAAAAGGAACGCACGCTTACCTTGGAGTTGAGCTTCTCTGCGTCGTCCACTTCCGCATTGGACCCACGTGGTCAAAGTGATCGCGGAGCTGCAGGAGATTGCGATTGTTCCAAAACTTCGAAAGTGTTGCCCATGTAACTTTACCAAACGCACGTCTTTACCTGCCCATCTACCCTTTCCTAGATCATTAAAAGTACTAGTCTGTGTATGTTACGCTCGCTAGCATCAGGGCAAGGTTTTCCATCACGTGTTTCTGCTGATTGGTGGGCGGGGCTTACTGAGAGCAGGTTGAATGAAGCCAATGAAATACGCGAAAATCAAAAAAAGAAAAACTCCACTGTGTTATTATGGATCCATGGTTTTTATGTGCAAAATGTATATGTAAGTCTAAATCTTCACACAAAATGTATATATGAAAGTGGGAACAGGTGGTGGTGAGTGAGCGGACTGGCGAGTGAGTATGTATGAATGGAGGTTATGGAAGGGCACATGTCTGGTAAGGAATATTATTTTTTTCTGTTTTTTTTATTTTATGTGTGTGCCATCCATCCATCCATCCATTTTCTACCCTTTAATCCATTTCTGGGTCAGGGGGGTGGCAGTCAGAGATGCCACCCAAGTCTCATAGCACCAGCCTCTCACTGACCCTCTGCAGGTGGTGAGTCCACAGGAGGACGGCTGCTCACTGAGTGTGAGCATAGCCTTGATCTTTCAGTGGGGGTTTTTGGGCAAAGTGGGGTTAAGTGTCTTGCCCAAGGACACAACAACAGCAGTCATCAGTGGGAGTCGGTGGAGAAGGTGCAGAGGTGGGAATTGAACCCACGACCTTCTTTATGTGTGTGCCAATCGATATTATTATAGATCCATGGTGCCAATATTCCTTGGAGCAAATGTAAACTGATAATCCCAATGATTTAAAGAATATTCCAACAAAATACTATTGCTTTATGTGTTTACCCTTATTTATAATTTGTTTGCCCTTTTAGGATAGGATAGGATAGGATAACATTTTGATGGCCATTGTTTTACGTTTCTCACGAATCCACATTTACTATATGAGCTTTAATATCATTTGTATTGTGTTATAGTAGACCAGAAAAAGAAGATGGAAAACACAAATAGAATGTTGCTGTCATCACAGTGAGTGAATTCCAAGAACAACTAAAACAATGACAGTGAGCAGATGCAAAAGGGTTCACTGATATGTTTTGGCACACGCATCTCATAAAAAGGAACATCCCACAAATGATTCAGAAGTTTATTTCCACAAAATGAATTCTGTCATTTGAGTCAAGTATTGTTCAACTTTTCCAAAATATATACAAACCTTCTCATGGGACTGTGTTTGGTCTTTTAATCAACAGATGTTTTGACCTTCTGAAGACCTTCATAAACTGTAAATAATGTTTTATTCCCCAAACTTGAATTGCAGTTCATGAAAATTGCACTTATTTTAGAGAAAGCATATTGTACACACCCACTACTTCAATGCTTCTGATGTTTGAATGTCAGCTACTATAGAAAACACGGCCAAACAAATCTCCCCGGGTGGTTTTTTAGGCCTTAATATGAAGCTTCTCCATAATTACACACTGCTGTTTGGGAAAGTGTAGCTATTTAAGCCATTTTTACAATCACAAATTATCTATATTTGTTATTTGGAGAGGCAAAGGATAGTACTTCTGATGGCATCAAAGCAGGCTCCGTTCCACAAGGATTTATACTGAGGCCCTGTTGAATTGTAAATCAAGACATGGAGCAAGGGGGCCGTGCTGGTGACCATTGATGGTGGTCCAGATCTCACCGCCCAGACCTGCTGTTGTCGCTGGGTGGCCTTTGCAGAGATTATGAATATGAGCATGCAATAAACACAGAAATTCAACTGTTTCATTATATCTGCTTACACATAACTAAAGCTACTTATCTCCTTTTTGAAAATCCTTCAGACGGTCAAAAACATTTTTTGTGGCTTTCTCTCAACAGGTTTAGACTACTTGACTACTTCTAGGTCTATGGCAACTTACATTACAACTGCTGCGTAAACTTAAACCCTGCGATTTGTGCGTATATTTACATTTAAAAAGTAAGATTATCCAAAATATTAATTGTTATAGTGCACCTAGATTGTTGAATAGAAGAGAAGAACCAGTTTTCTGCATACGGCTTGAGTCCGACACGTGATACTCCGGCAGTTGTGGTGACGACAGATCGAACCATTCATCTGATACATTCATTATAACATATTAAAACAGAACCCGCCCGACATCTGTGGCAGTAATTCAAGTCTCACAATTTTTTTGGGCTTATTCTAAACCTTTCGTCTTGATGTTATGCTGAAATCACTGCTGAGCCAGGAAGCGACAAATGAACTGAGAGAAAATATTGATAGTATAAAATAAATGAGTGTCTTGATCTGCAAAAAGACAGCGAGATGCGTTCCCAGCAGCTTTCCCCTTTTCAGAATTTAAACCATAATGATATTTATATGTGATGCAAGACATTTCCCTTTTCTGTCAGGAAACATTGTTTATAGGAATATAAAGATTATATCATCAAGGCTCCATTGAGACCCCTTTATTCCGTGCGTTCGCATTCTTCCATATTTTCATAAACCACATCCTTCTCCCATGAATACAAGATCTGCTGAGACACAAGGATAACTGTCCATATCCAGTGTTTTATGGGACGGGAGTATAAAGGCCGCACTCTCACACACAAGTCCCTTTGGAGAAATTAAAATGAATGCCAAAAAGTCAAGAGTTTACACAGTTATCACGCTGTTTACAGACATGAGCTATAATCATCCCGGCTTGACGTGGTGGCCGAGCTGCAGTGCTTCTGACGTCGCTGGGATGACACTCAGACAACCACAGTTTTACCAATCTCTGCCCAACCAAAGCCTTGAGGTTTGGAGTCTTCCATGCAGCAGTGATGTGTGTGTCTGTCAGCACCATATTAAGAACACTAACCCAATGTTAGATGGATTGCAGCGTAGATTAAACATGGCCTCTTTTTAACACTCTGCTTGTTTTTTTATTTTTTTATGACAATTTCTATTTAGTCTCAGTTGTTGAAATCCAGCGTGGCCACGACAGCAGAAGATGTCTCAAAGGGCTGTGTCCACGTCCTGTATGTGGCCGTTTGCCTTACTGCCAAACTTTGAGACGACACATGTCTAAATAATGACAAAATAGAGTGTGTTATCAGCCACTTTGGGTAGCCCTCTCCCTAAAACACAATTATCCGGTTAAAAATCTTGGGATAATAATGGACTTACATTTTAGCAGCCACATCAAATTAGTAATATCAGTGGCTTTTTTCTATTTAAAAGAACATTGCTATAAAAAAAAGTAGAGTGTTGAAAGAAAACTTAAAAATACATTATGTCCAAGAAGAACATTTGTATCGCTTATGAATGAAGCAATACAAATAAACTTGACTCGTCTTGCCAAGTCCAGACCAATCCGAGCATCTGTACCATGCACTGTAGAGACCACTGCTCCTTACTGGTTTGCCTACTACAAAAGCAGGATGGGTCAAATACTGAGGACAACATTTACCTTCCCTTAACAATAGGTTACAAACAAACTTGAAAAAGAAGTAATTGAAATGTATTTCCAAAAAAAAATGTTTTGGAATTGAGTAATTTTGTGGCCGGTCCAAAACATTGGCAATACCATAAAAACAATTGTAAAAAATCTGGTTCATCTGCTCCATTCATTCGCATCCAGTGTTTTAAATAGACAAAGATAAATGAAAGTTGAGAACCAAAACACGTCAAATTGTTTCCAGACCATATCATTTTAATTTATAGCATTCATTGTATTGTCCACAGAATACATGTAACCATTCATTAACAACGAAATGTGCTCTTACTACAAGCACACACAGACTGGACATCTGTCAACAACTACATGTATCTGCCTCTGGAAATGGAAGTCTGACAGCATGCTACGGGGCAAACAAAAATAAATAGAATATCTTATGCTTTCACGTCGTAGAATCATACCTTTACAGTACAATGTCTATGAAATATCTGTGAAAAAGTATACAATCAGTTTTAATTCATTCATGTGGGCTACAAAAATAATTCTCTGTTACATATATTAAAAATGTCCAGTGGTTTTGCATAATTGTAATAGATTGGGTCGCTGGTCGTCGTCACCAGTCACCAATTCCTGTCAAAACGAAAGAGAAAAAGCATTAGTCAGCCTGTAACCAGAGCTCAAATAACCACTAATAGGAATAATAATAAGTAAGGCAAAAACATTAAAGCCGCAATTTAATATCTGAACAAACATGAGCTTGGAAAATGACTTTAATGAAGCTTCCAGAGCAATAAATTTTGGTTTGGAGTTAGTGTTGCCTTGGCGATGTTTTGGACACCCCGATTGCTCAAAACACGCTACACGCCACTATAGCTGCAGCAGTTCTTTCCTCAGATCTCCCTCCAGCCTGGCACGGTGACGCTGGGAACTGTGGGCACCTCGCGGACCACAAGAAGAGGCACCGCAGACGGCCTCAAAACCAGACCAGACTTTCTCCCTTCTCCACCAAATGTTGACGCTGGGAGTTTGACGCTGTCTGCTGCATGTAAACTCCACAAAAACCGAGTGACATAATGGAACGGGGCAAGTGGACAGGTTGGACCAATCAGAGGCCATCGCTGTGCCCTGCGTTTAGCCTTCGGGGTCAAGATGAATGGACCGTGAATGAAGGTGGGGAGATGTACACGGGTTTACGTAGCTATTTAAGGCTGTGCAAGATGAGGTCATAGGCTAAGAGCGGCTAAACTAAAGGTTGCAAAAGCAGAAGTCATAACACGGTATGGTTCTCGTGGCCTAGAGGCAATGATGCGCGTAGTTACTGCTTCTGTTAAATATAGAGCAGATTTTTCACTATATATGTACCTGAAAAGACCGATCTGTTGTCTTGAGCACCACCTGCAAAAGGAAAAAAAGAATAATACATATAAAAATGCACAATTATAGGACTGTTTCTATGCTGTAATATTGTGCAGATTCTTAGCAGTGCAGTAGCCGGCTTTGATCTCGTCTGTGGTATGCGTGATTGGACTAAAGGGGTAGTTTATAGAATAACAGGAAATAGCATTGAACTTGTTTCCTTCTGATTTTAAAGTTGTCACGACACATTTGGCCACCAGATCACGTCTGTCTGCTGCGTTGATGGGAATCCTATGTTGTTGTTTGTCTCATTGGCCAATCTTAAGCCACACAAAATGTACTCAATATACATTTTACCTAATTCAAGAAATGTTGGACGGTTTTTGCAGTGCACAAAATTTATGTTAACTATCTTTTAGTTAACTAAGTCCTTGCTCTCAAAACAATTAGGTTCAATCACATACATGTTTTGGCCTCTTTAGATCAGCTTTTAAGCCCTCATTGTTCAAAGTTTGGAAAAGATAACATTTTTTACATAACAAGATAATATTTTCTCAGATGAAGACAGCATGCCTTGGTTTTATTTGTTCAAAAACATTCCACTTTTACAAGACTTTCTAGTCTAGGACACCGTAAAGAACCAGAGCTTTTATCTTAAAAATAATTTCTCTCCAAGAAGTGAGTGAACATTGGCTATGTGCTGATGTTCCCAGCTATATTTACTAGATCAATTTATATATTTGGTCTCCATGTGTTGTTTCTCTCTGGCTCCAAACCAGGACATTGTCATGAAAAGCTGAATAAATATCCCATATATTCCAGCTGATTCATAACCTCTGAAAAGGCTGCAGCGCTCCTCTCACGCTATACCCAGCTCCTTGTCACGTCTTGTGGCTGTTCATTCTAATTCTCTTTGTCCCTTTCATTCTCTGCGTGTGTGTGTCAGCCGGGACCTCCTCAAACTCTCAACAAGCTTCTGCTGTTGCCAAAGTCTTAGACCAGCCCCCGGGGGATATTAGCTAAATGTAACCACGCATTCTCGAGATACACTTTTGGCAAACGGCTGCTCTTAAAGAGAGTACAGTTCCATGTGACGAGCGAGTTTGAGACTTTAGTTTGCACCGTCTTAAACAGTCGACCGTTTCATTATAACATCTGTATCATTTTAAACAGCACATGATGATGTTTTGTTTGCTATGACAAGCCTGACTAAATATGAAAGATTATTTGGATTATGACATGGTTTTTGGACTCATTTCATTACAGCAGCAACAGGTTCTGGTTAGCATGAGGAGTTGAGAATTAGTGAAAAAATGCATATGCAATTTTGATAAGTAACCGTCCCACATCGCAAAGACGGATGGATAGTTATATTCAACGCTGTGTGGGTTTTTTGTTGATGATTGCTCTGACTTTTTGGTGGCATACTATGCAAATGAAGCACAGGATTATTTAAAGTTGTGGAACAATTATCTCTTTTGTCAATGCGAGATAAGAGGAATTAGTCATCTGCCCCTTATGGACCAATGTCTCTATGAGTTTTTATCATTGCATTTCTTGTGTTTTAACTGTTTGATTCTCTAATCTGTGTTGGCAAATTCAAAGTTATTGGTTAAGTCCTCCGAGATAACCACTGTTGTGATTTAGGGCTATACAATAAATTGAATTGAATTTAGTGGGAGGGGAAACCAATGCAGACACAGGGAGAACATGCAAACTCCAAACAGAAAGGACCCATCTGGAGGTGGAATCGATCCCAGGAGCTTTTTGCTGTGAAGCACTAACCACTGTGCTCACCCACTAAGCATTTATCTGTAATTTTCGAAACCGTTTTTTTTTCCTCTCGTAATGAACTCTTCTGATAATAGCTTGGTTTTAATCACATTGTATCCCCCTTCAGATTAAATATCTTTTAAAACGGTAAAAATGTAGAGTTGTCCTGGTATAGATGGAGAGGTATATGGAAGTCAAACTTGATCGTCTCCCAGTCACCGCCAAACACTGCTGGAAACACATTCACCCAGTGCTCTTCATATAACAGTTTATTAGTGCTGTAGATGTCTGTCTCAACAGTGACCTCACAATAACATTTAACTGCTGTCTACATGTTCTAAATCAACGTGCACTTGAAATAATGTTTAAATATGTGTCATGCCTGAACTCCCACACGTCTTTTTCACTTAATGCATCTTGAATCCATCTCTTTCACTTTATATGGCACTAAATTCCACCAGTGAGTCTACATTTAAAGCTTTTACTTGTCATGCTATTATTATTGCAATGAGTCACTCACTTCTGTCCTGCTCCGGAGGGTCCATGATGTCACTGTCTGTATCACTGGGGATACGCCAGGGCTGCCGGATGGCCTGTAGCTGCTGGTAAAACTCATCCTGGCAACAAGAAATGACAATGAGGAGAGATAGACAGCATTTAGTTTGGTCTGTATGCAGCTGCCATCGTCTGCACTGGTACCACATCCTTTCAACAAAGATTCTCAGGCTTCTCAAAATGATTGGTTTAATACGGGTCGTTTCTGGTGTCAGGTTGTGGGTGATTCGTTAATGGGTTAGAAAAATAACTCCCCCCTTCACCTAATGCCAAAAGGTCAGGGATGTTGATATTTGAGAATGTCACAATGAAAGCTTGGGTTGAGTCACTTGATCTGTTAATTCCATGAGAAAATGGAGATAATTGACAATAATTCAAAGAAAACTAAATACATAATTTTAATAATTTTATTAATTTAAGAAAACAAAATTAAAAGGGAAGAAATTGTGTATACCACATTGGGCCCATTCATGCCGTACTTTTCACATTAGCCTGTCTATGTCAATGTATGTGATTACGCTTTACTAATGTATTTTGATGGCTTATAGCTAGCCCAGGGAATACAGTTGAAACTAGCTTTGCAGATAAAACTGGACCTTTTATAAAAATGCCCAATAGTGGGCATTGTCCCTTTTGTGAAGCCTTTAAAAGGATCTATTTCATTTCAAGATAACAAGTTAGAAAACTGTGTTCACTGCGGATTCGGATTGGTTTGTTCTTGTCTAAGTCCAGGTGGTCTCAATAAATCGGTTCTGCAGTGTTGTGGATAATCTCATGAGGTGTCAACTGGTGTAACTGTCACAGAACTACACATAAATTCCTGCCCAGGATTAATAAGGCCTTCAAAAAGGTCTCATATTTAATAGCACCACTGTTAAGTAGATCATGAAAGGGCTCGAAGAACTAAATCCCATTCAAAGTTTGCCTTTAATGCCAGACTCATTTTTCCGCTGTGAAATGACATCCTACTGTAGAGACCCAGCGGCCCCAAACCCCACACGACGGAGCAGGGGTAAGTGCGCACACGTGTGATACTGGTGCTGACCATAAAGAGAGCTGACACACACACACACACACACACACACACAGACACTCCTCAATGAATCTATAACAAGAAAACAAAACACAGACATATTTTTAGGGCAACAGACACAAAGGTCTTACTTAGATCCCACTCTCTCCTCTATCAACTCTCCTAAATCAATATGTCAATTAAAAATATACATATTTTCACCAAATTTCAACCAAACTCGCCTTAAGTCAATATAAAAAAACGCTAAAGCAAACTCTTGAAGTATTAATGCCTCACAATAAAGAGTTAAAGTGTTTGGCTGTGGCTTTAAAGACCTAGTAAATGCAAAGGAACACTGGGAAGCTTCCACCAAATAAAGTGGGGGAAAAATGTGGATTCCATGGCCTGCAATTCTGAAGCGGTTAAATAGAAAGAACAAGGTGTGATACCATATATTGAAATATTATGGATATAACAACCTAAATAACATAACAACCTTTGTGTCATTTAGAATGTATTATACCTTGTGCCAAATACATCATGGGACTTCATCATTCACGACTACGTTTATATGGGTAGAGAATAACTGACCAATACCAAAACATACATGTGCGGGGGATTGGGCACAGACCGTAATGTGTCATACATCATACATACAGTATAAGCACATTTTTGCTTTGAGCATCTAAAATATCAAATATGAACCAGGCACTCCCCCCAGTTCTTAAATGCCTGTTATTTAGTTATTTATTTGGGAGAGTGCATGTCAATGAACAGACATATTAGAAACATGGATGTAAACATGCCGGGTCTGGTGGGACATTTATCAGCCTTTCATTGGAGCAATGGAAGATGAAGATCGTGCAACCAAACCGTATCGTCTGCTCCAATCTATGGTTCGAAGAAAAAGCTCCGCCCACAAGCAAATCTTCCATCCAAACTACCAACAGCACATTTCTGAGCACAAATCATCAGTTGTAAATGCTTCAAAGTGTGCAGAAATTGTGATTTTGTTGCCATATTTTGGAGATCATGAACGACAACGCAAACACTCATTGTTAGTGGTCTCTTTTTTCAAATTCTAATGAACACAAAGCCAGTCTTCTGACCCTGATCAGAAGTTTCCATCCCCCAGTTCTCACTAGTGTGTATCCAAGGCCATGCTCCTAACCTTTCTGTGTATGTGAAAGAGTGTCTCACCTCAGACAGATAGGCCCGCAGGCTCGCTCCAAGGCTGTCGGTGGTGCTGAGGCCTGGGGGGGTGAGCAGTGGCCGGGGGCGCATGGGCTGACAGGTGGGGGTCACAGGTCTGCTCCGGGACCTCCTGAAGGTGACCTCTTTATGTGCCCCAGGGTTAAAACTGCTGCGTGTCAGTAAACTATTTGGAGTCAGAGGTCGGCTGCTGGGAGTTCTGGGAGTTTGAGTCCTGCTGCTGGGGTTACTGGGAGAGCGCCCCATGGTCAGAGTGGTGGGTTTGGAGCTGAGCGAGGCCAGGCCGGGGGTGGGCTTCATGGAGGAGAGGCCGCTAGCAGGAGACTGGGGCCGAGACAGGATGCTGGTGAGGGGCAGAGTGTCCGGGAGGGTCCTGTGGTGCAGGGAGCTACTGTGAGGGTTGTTGGCGCTGCGTGTGGTCATCTTTCCCGCCTCTGCGAGTTTAGCCAGGTCCTTCTCAACTTCTGCATGAGAGAAAATAATCAACTTTATTTGTAGAACAGTGGAAAGGCAACACAATTACACACAAGGATCGAGTCTCAACCAAAGTTAAAACCAGGACATCAAATGAATCTTAGTCTGATAAACAGAGTATTGCTGTTATTGGTTGGGGGAATGTCTTAATTTTAGATCACTGTTGTAAATATGTGTTTTAGGGCTAGGCCTATTTTATTCATTCTGTATAATGTGTTGCACTGTAGGGAAAAGCTCAATCAGGGACAGGAGTTGAAAATTAGCATTAGCTATACACTCTGTATGTGTCGCATCAGCTGCATTTTCATAATGTAACTATGTATGACTACATTGTCCCTGTCAAATAAATGAATAAATAAAATAAAATAAATAAAAAAGTATCCATAGTCCTGGAACGGTCACTGTAAAAGTACATACATTTTTACAGCCCAAGGTCACCCAAAGCGCTTTACAATGTTCTGATATTGAATGCATGAGTGTGAGGCTCAACCACAGAAGGACAGCATTTGAAGATGAAGAATGTGAGATACTTTAAAAATCAATCTGAATGTGCACAACAAAATCAATGGAGGATTTACAAAAAATTCAGTTGACATCTAATTCCCTATACCAGAGTTGTTTAATGACAACATGACAAAATAACATGATTGATTCGATTTCAACGGGCAATTGTTAGAATGAAACCCCTAAAGCAGTGATGTCAAACTGCTTCTAAAAATGGCTGGGTGTGCTTCTGTTTGGTTGGACTAAAAACCTGCAGCCACACTGGGCTTTTGAGAACCGGTTAGACATCATGAAGCCAGCGAACATTTCAAAAGTTTAGTAATCTCCATCATGACTTGAAAAATAGATCTACATCTGTTGGCTTTTTGACGGTTGTGAGATATTGAAGGTCTCTTGGGACATGAGGATGGATGGATTAGGAAAGGAGTGCACTACAGGCAGATCCAGGGTAGTCCGGGAAACTTGATTGAAATATTTGGACATGCCCTGAGGTGGGATGGTAAGAGTAAAACCGGCCAGAGTTGGAAAAGCAAGTTCAAAGAAGAGATTTATGAACGTAGTAAAAAAGGACAAGGAGTTAAATGCTTTGGAGATGCTGAATGCCGCATACTGAGGCAAAGAGCTTATATTGGAACTTTCAGCAAATGAGCCTGAAGACAAGGCAATATATAATCAAGAGTATAATAACAAACTTTAAAAACAAAAAAACAGAAAAATCATTTACAGAAGACCAAGTCCACTGAGATCCTGAGGTAAACCAGAGCCTCTTCTGAAGTTATGAAATGTGACCATGTGTCTTGTTGTGGGGGTGATGATTCACAAACTTTACCGAGCATTAAAGTGAGCGAGACAGCACTGTTAACTCCAGCTTCAGGGCAGAGAAGACAATATTTACACAGCCAGTAAATTGTGGTGAATCGTGTTTCCTCTGTAAGAACCACCCTCTATATGATCTACAGTCACCAGGATTTGTTGATTTCCCCGACAAAAACGCACTTGTTTGTCTCACTGGTAGTCTCCAAAACAACTCTGTTTGTGCAAGACGTGACAGGGCCAACTTGTGTGATCCGCATCTGGGTCGTTTTCCACCATGTTTTATGCTTTTGTCCAACTTGGCAACGGAGATTCAACAAACCGGTGCCTGGGAGATATCATTTGGGAGGCATAATTGAAGGAATGAGACAGAGGGGAATATTTCTGGGGAAGTGTATTCAATGGACGTTGCATGTTTTTGGTAGAGGCAATTAGGAAACTATCCATGAGAGGACTAAGAAGAATGTGTGAATGTGTTTAAGAATGCGTAATTGAATCGGGAAAGATTGGGAAAATTAACAGGTAATTCAGTTTGTTATTTCGGAAGTTAAAGCTGACACAAAACATAATATGTAAGGGATCAGAACTTTAAGGTCACTGTGTAATTCAGTCACATCAACCCAGTTTGGACTAGTTTAATATCTCTGGTTGTGCATCTTGAGATTATGCAAATGTTTATGTTAAAAAGCTCTGTAACTTTGCACTCTTTCTGAAAAACTGAAAATAAACACCAGGTCAATTGTACCCAAATGGCTGCCTCAGTCTCATTTTCTCCTCAAACAGAAAAGTACATCCATCCATCCATTTTCTTCCGCTTCATCCGTTGCCGGGTCACGGGGGAAGCAGTCTAAGCAGAGACGGTGTGACTTCCCTATCCACACACACTTCCTCCAGCTCGTCCGGGGGGACCCCAAGGGGTTCCCAGGCCAGCTGAGAGACATAGTCCCTCCATTGCGTCCTCGGTCTTCCCCGGGGTCCCCTCCCGGTGGGACGTGCCCGGAACACCTCCCCAGGGAGGCGTCCAGGAGGCATCCGGAACAGATGGCCAAGCCACCTCAACAAGGTTCCTCTCGACGTGGAGAAGCAGCGGCTCTACTCCGAGCTCCTCCCGTGTGACCGAGCTCCTCACCCTATCTCTAAGGGAGCGCCCAGCCACTCTGCGGAGGAAGCTCATTTCGACCGCTTGTATCCGCGATCTCGTTCTTTCGGTCATTACCCAAAGCTCATGACCATAGGTGAGGGAAAAAGTAGAAAAGTATATTTTGTGAAGAAATCAGACTACATCATGCTGTCTTTAGCATTTGAGCAAACCTTCATTTTTTGCAGATTTGTAACAAAATAAAAGATCCCTGTAATCACATGTTAACGTTTTGGGCTGAGAGCTGCTTGGCCTGAGAGGCTGGTCCTCTCTGTTTCACTTTTCTGTCTAAAACGCTGAGTTGAGAAGGTCAAATATGAATGAAATCTAGTGATAGAAACAAAACTAGGAACTAGTTGTAGATGGATTTTATTACACAGTTCCGTTTTAGCGGTTATAAAGTTATGTATGTCAGCTTTAACAAATTATTATAACTCACTGCAAAGCGAAAATGAAAATCCCCGAGACACGCACTGCTCCATTACCTCCCACACTATACTTTGACAACTGTTTTTACTAAACTCTAAACAGGACACGCTTATTTCGCTACATCTGAAGTTATTTTCTGGGAAATGGTGATAAACGCCAAGTGTTGTTGTGAGAAGCAGAATCTGAAACCTGCTTTTTCAACCCCTGATTTATGTTGTAAGCTCAGTTATTGCTCAAGCCTCGTTCTTTTAAAGAGCTACCTATCAAAGGCAGCTTTATTTTGAAAGTCTGCGTGGCGACCCGCGTGGCCCTCACACGAAACACACACGGATCTCACACAGACGCTGATAAACCGTGACAGCCCAGGCAGAACAAAGAAGAGCCATTAGGATCACACAGCAAAATGATTTCATATGTTTCTGACAATATGGGAGAAGACCAGGAGATAAAAATAGCCTGAGAACACTGAAGCAAGCAAGGTGATGCATGTGTAAAGTAGAGTACATTCAGGTGTCATTAGTGTTTACATTTTAAGTATTTTTGTCTTAATTTTTTTTTTTTCTTAAAGAACAAATAAAGTGACTGGAATACACAATTTCTGGCATTGCAGGTGATTGCTTGAAATCTTCGTACTAATAAAAAATAAATTAAAAACTGAACAATATTGTTAATCGAAGTCTAAGCAGAATCACTTTACCGTTTTCATTATCTAAAGTTGGGGTACCTAACTTTTATTTTTCATAAATTAATATATTATGGTTGTCCCAATAGAAAGAGATCTGGGAAAGTAAAATATTCAGGCCACAACAGGTAGTCTTGATCTCATTAGAAAACATCATATCTTTTTCTTACATGTAAGAAAAATCCTTGTGAGTCACTATTTGACGCTTTGGGCTGAAAGCTGATTGGCTGAGCAAGGTTTGTCCTCTTTTTATTACATTTCTGTCTGAAAATGCTAATATAAACCTGTGACAGAGGCCAAAACACAGATTACTGCCTTACTCATAAATTGCAATGCTAATATTCATCAAGCAAACGTCTACATCTTTCTCATTTTCGAACCTTAATCACATTTTTCCAGCTGCTTTAAAATGTCCACCAACCCTTTGATGGCGCATTAGTTGCCCATTTTGACGCACAGCTAATCCTCTGCCATTAGCGTCACATAAAGCAGGCGACACACTTATCACTTGTGGCGCTTAAAGGTGAATTTTATGACTGAGAACAGACAAAAAAGGCACTTAACCGAAGCCACAATTAAAAAGGTCTCCCTGCAACATGGAATCAATTAGCCCCAAATCAAAGGTTGAAAGAGTGAAATTAGGCTCTCCAATAGCCTGCACTAAACCTCCCTGTGGAAACATGCAGGGGACTGACTGCAGATCAATGCCATGTGACAGCCACTGGGGTAGTCGTGTCCTGTTGCTTTGTATGAATTGCAAGTGAAGCATTTAGCAGGATCAGATATGGTTAGAATAAAACTGATGTCAAACGAAAGTGCGGACAGGGCCTCGACTCCAGCCGCGGAGCAGAGTGGGAGGACATGTGTATAGACAAACAAGTGTGGAGCACATGCTGGTAAATGACGAGGCTTTCATCTCATGGCTGCGTAGATCACACTGACAGAGAAGCCGTCTCCAGGTCTCACTGACGTCAGATAAACGTATGTCTGTATCTGTAGCATAGCGTCTGATAGGTTTGAATATAGTCTTCACGTTTGCACTGTTTGATCCCATTTGAGTCTGGTTTGGTTTAGCCAGAGAGTTATCAAGCAAGTACCACCGCATTACTTATAATTAGGGCTGAAATGTATGTAGTTTTTGTAAATATTGTGACTATTTTAAATGTCATATTGATGTTTTCTTTATAGATTATCCCACGCTCACCCTGCATTTACAGCTCTATTAATATAATAAACATAATTTTTACACAATTGGCCATGAATGCACCAATACAACCACCACCAACCTTATTTGATGCTTGCTGCAGAACATTATTCTGAAAATACTTACCTAACCTATCTTATCAATGAGATCTGGCATGAATATCAATATGTGTGTCCATATTGTTCATACTGATCTGTTGTTGGCAAATTGACAACTTTGACTGTTGCTTTGATCTAATTGTGGAAGTTTTGATCTTCTTCACAGTTATAACAAGGACACAACACCTGTAGTTTTCAGATGTCATCCATAATATCTTAACTTAAGCTGGGTCCATTTTGGTGTCCATTATCTACCCTTTCTTATACCAGCGTTGGTCTTGATGTCTCCAGGTGTAGTAGATCTTGCACAACTCTTTACTCCCGGGTTTCAATTATTTTATGTAGTGAGAAAGACCACACTATACAAGTATACTCATTCCTTCATTTAAGTGAAATTATAGTATAGAGTAGATCATAAAACTTGATGATAATATTACAAAAGGAGAGACATTCTAATCTAACCTTTTGAACAGTAACATTGCATTGCTTTAATTAAGAAAGAGCCCCCTTCAAAAGCAGTACATTCTTTGATTGACCCCCCTCCTCTGTCTGTGTTCTCTTTATAGTCTGGCCTGAGTGCATTGTAGACGGCAGACTGGCTTTTGTTCCATAAAGTCTGCATTTGATCTGACTTAACCATGCTAATTACTATTAGAGCCACCAATGTACTAAGCCACACAGAAGTACATACCGGCTAACTGCTTGCCCATGTTCTCCAACTCTTTGGAGAAGAGGGAGTCGCCCAGTAGCAGGCCCGTTTGTCCCAGCGAAGTGCCACCTCTGACAGGCTTCAGATCAGCCTCCCAGACTGCCTGACGCTGGAAGAAAGGGAGAAAGTCACACACATTATAGGCAAAACCCTTCAATTAAACTCTTTATATAATTTTTCAAAATTGCTGGAAATATCCGAGCCATATCTGCTGGAGAAAAAGGAGCCAATTATTATTTTATGAGCGTTAGAAAAACACAAGAAACCACAGCAAGTGTAGATGAAAGCTTGAGGCGTGTGCAGTGTACTCTGTTTGGAGAATGGAAGTAGACAGTCTGTCAGGAGTGGTTCAGAAAAGCTCTATATTAGCAAATACATAGGAGCCATGAATGCACACTCGTCTGCTGGCACACAGCCAGGGACTCAAATACCTCAAATACTTATGAAGTCTTCAGAAAACCCTTGATACAGCACTGTAATAAAACATACCATTCAAAGTTCATTATTTGACTTGAATATGTTTGCATGTGACATATTTGATGAAATTCTTTTCTATTCTTTTCACTGGGCGAGAAAGGCCAAATGATGTGTTAGACACCGAGTGCAGGCCTCTGGCGGTGAGATCTGTCAGACATAGTTGTTTCTGTCGCTCTCGATCCAGAGAGAATGTCATGTGGTGTCTAAAGTGATTAGTTATTGACTAAACAAAAGGCCAGCAGACTGCTCCTTGCCAACTACAATTTAGATACATCAATATGACAACTTTACTTCAGCACAAATGTCATGCTTTTCAAATCGCAGCTTTCGACTTAACTGCCCCACATCGGGGCTCTCTTTGATCCGTGCAAGATTTTTCATTGTTAATATTGATGTAATTTACTATGAAATGAACAAATAAAGTATAGATAGTCTGTGATGGGAGACAGGGTAATGAACTGTTGTTAAAGGTATAGGTGCACTATATTCATCCATGTACAGTGTAGGGCAATTCCTCCTCTGCATTTGACCCATTCTGATGCCGAAGGCTTCCATTAGGAGCAGTGGTCGCCATTTTTTTAACTTATTGCCTAGTGTGTGAATGATTGGTGGTGGTCAGTATGTCCCATGGCAGCTCTGGCTACAATACTAGTTTACCACCACCATGTACAGCGTGAATGAATGATGCCGTGTGAAGTGTCTATAAGTGTCCACAAAGAGCAATATAAAACCGACGTGTCCAATGACGGTGCAAAAAATGCACACAAAGCGCACAGTTAGTTGTATACAGTAGTTACAATTCAATTCAAATCAACTTTATTACAATCTCTAGGTCCAATTTAAAACATAGACAAGACAAAAGAAAATAAACAGTTATGAGTTAAAAAGACAGTGTCTCCATATCTTGGACTGCCCTCGAGTGGCACTGAACCTGATGTTTGCCAGCGCTAAAATTATTACACTTTCTGATTTGTTCAGTCGACAAACTGTCATACTACAGTTACAGTATACACCCTGGATAAAGTGATATATTGACTATAAGTATGACAGAGCAGATTGTCAGACGCCTCTGTCAGTCTGTCCTTGGAGTATCACGTGTAATGTGGACCGTCTAAACTGACCTCGGTGTCAGCACTAAAAGCATACAGTTCGATATAGTGGCATTCAAATCTTTTATCCATAACATCAGAAAAACACCGTATATGTACTGGTAAGGATTAAGTCTACCATCCTGCCACAAACAGAGGAAAATGCTATGATAAATAGTGTATGTTGAGTAGAATATAGTATAGAGTTGACGTGCTGATAAATGACAGAGTATTATTCCCAGGCTGTGTCCCATTGATCTTTATGTCAGGGAGATAGAGCGCAGGAGGCCTTTGGTGGAAACACAGCCACAGCGCCTCCAGCCAGGCCCTAATTGTAGCCTTCATAATGCGGCACGAGTTCAATATTACAAGTTTAGCCCTCATGCTCTGCGCCAGTATCAGGCCTTTCCAAGACGTGACATCATGTGGCCGTCTCCTTCTCTGGATCGTGTCAGCTCAGCCAAACAAGGCCACCAACAGATCCCAATTTAAGGCTCCAATCACTTTTCCATCATCTGGGTGATCCCCAAGTGCGCAGCTTGTAAACATCACAGCTATATTTAGACCTAATACTCTTAATTACTTTTTAAACATTGGGTTGGTTTGTAGGACTAAAAAAAGAGCGCAGTTTCAAGATTATATTTTTAGGTAATGCTGGCAAATATTAGGGAAGCTCGAGATTAAAGATAATATTAAAGAGCAACTATTATAACTAGCATAATATTCCCTTTAATTAGGACCCAACACTCTTCTGACTGGAATGGTCACCTATGACAACTGTGGCTCCATTTTATAAATGTAGTACTTTTGAAATGATGTTATAGAGAAACTCACTGCTCTTCTTAAGATTAACAATAACTGCACAAATCACAGACTTAGAAACAAAAAAGTAAAAACAGCGGGACTGCCTAAAGAAGTGAGGGGAGCTCAATGGCGTTAATGCAGTTGTAACATAATTAGACTGAAGAAACATACATTCAAAAGCAATACTTATGGTTTAAAAGTCAGAAAAAGGCAGTCCATGGCATAATCTAAGGATTTGGCCTATCATACCCAATGTTGTAAAAATATTGTCACTTCCATCTTTGACACAATCATCACATTCACGGTTTCCCTCAGTCACAGCGGGTTTTGTGTCTTCCCAAAACGATAAAGTGAGAATAATCTTAGGAGAGCAAGGTTCAAACTAGGATTTTCTGTTGACCCCATATTGAATTCCTCAGAAGGTCATATTTCTTGAAAGTCATGTAATAAATATGAAAGTTGAATTCAAATGTGGGCTAACAGTTCGCAGAATCTGCTTCTAATCAACCGACATAAAACGATATTGAAAGAGACACAACAGTGGGTGTTCTGGTTTTGTACACATAAATGTTTTGACATTGAGCGGCGGAGATGAACTGGACACAATAAAGTAAGTCAAATGTATCAGTAAGCGTGACTGACAGTGCACTCTCTCTGTTTAGAAGTAACGCTGCACTAAAACAAAAATGATTAGACTTGATATCTTATCTATGCAATAAAGAATGGCTATAATTTTCCAATGACTTACGAGAACATTAATGCCAGGATCCGTTCGCAACATGGCCGGACCAAAGAGAGCTTGAAGAGAAGTGAAAGGCCTTCTGGGGATGCTTTGGTCCCACTAACAAACATGGCTCTGGTTTCTGCTGAAATTGATTCCATGTTTTGGAGTTAAAGATTTTATAGTGAGCATGTGTGCCTCTATATGTGTGTGGTCAGGAGGAGTAATATTCACCACAATCTGGGGTTTGATCCAGCAGGGCTCAGCGCAGTGACTGGAGACATATCTGTGCTGTGTGCAGACCTCAGACGGAGGAGAAAAGAACGCTCCCAATATCACGACCCAAACACAAAGGCGTTTGTGAATGCGCTGGTTTACATCTTGAAATGAATTACGGTTAATATACAAATGACGCAGCGATACGCCAGCCGTGCACTCTGCCTGCGGGTCAATGACTTCAGTTCTAACGCAGATCCAAGTTGGCTATACTTTTGTCCTCTTTCAAGTATGAAAAAAATAATGCGGGGACTTTGTACAGTATGCGGTAATTAAGGCTTCGGATTGATGGCACAGATTAAGTATTGGTGGTAAAAGTTCCAGATGTAGCAGAACATAAGTGCTGTAGATGAAGAGGACTCCTGCATCTCCATCTCTTCACCACTCACCACTTTGAGCAGAGCGAAGCAGAGAGGGCAAAGGAGAACAGGTGGTTTTACTGAGAAAAAAAGATAGAAATAGGGCACATTCGATTATTTTAAGCCAATAGGTGCTAGTTCTCCATTCAGAGAAAAATATGAGGTGTTGAGTGCGTAAACATTAAAAAAATCTAAAAATTCTAACTTTTTTACTTTGAACCCTATATTTGAAGAGTTGCACATCCAGTAATAGAGCGAGAGACTAATTTATTAATCCAGGTGTTTAACGGAGGATGCAAAGTAAAATAGAGTGTGCAATTTCTGCGTGCACGATACGTCGGTCGGTTGCCCATTGTCATAGAGCTGTAGTTACATTGGGTAACTTATGTGTATAAATGGGGGCATATGAGTAGTAACTTGATGATTGTGGCCCTAAAGGTACCAGTAGTTGTAATAGTAATTGCAGTAGCAGAAGTATTTGTGTAGGATTCTGCAGTTTGCTGGCCCGAGTGAATGGACTTCTACACATCTGATGTTCAACATAAAGAAGCATGAAACTGAATCTGACAGAGCCTTATTTATCACAGTTCGATCAAAGAGAACGGCTATGAGAATGGTATTCCCAAAAGCTTTTCAAGTTTCATGGGGCGCATCAAGAGAATTCTGCACATTTTTGCGGGTATTAAACTGAGACAAAAACAACTTCTTCTAAACTTTTACATCTTAAAGTGCTGTGCTGACTAATTATAGTCAGTTTACTGCTGCAGGATTTGGTAGGTCATATAACCACATCATAAACACAGCATTTTCTTTTTGCTCCTGTTGTTTTGTGCTATTGGAAGATCATTTAACAGGTTGTTATTCTCTAAATGGCATTTTCTATATGAATCGACTGGACCGCTCTGTAGTGTCGGTACGATGTTAAAGCTCCGAGCCAGCAAACAAAATGAGAAAAATGTTTGCAAGGAACATAAACAGTCTAATAAGCAGTGAGTGTATCCTGCAGTAAACAGGAATGATTTTGATTATTGCTGGATTGTAAGTTTTTGAAGTGATGAAAATAAATACACAGACTGCTCCAAAGATACACAAAGGCCAAACAAAGTCATGCCAATCACTGCAGTTTACACGATCAAATTATTATTGAATTTAGCACATGCATTAGTTTAGGAAGCCAAAACACAGCGTGAAAGGCAAAATGAGACAGTAGGGGAGGATGATGCTAACAATTACAACATTAAAGGGAATTTTATATATCTCCCCAGAGTATAGGTCACATGTACAAATCTTAATTTTTTTACGTTTTCTGAGCACAAGTTTAAACTGGAGATATTCTTAATAAAATATAATGAACCTGACGACTATAATATGTATGTTTACATAAAGCAGATAATCCAATCACACGGCAGAATGAGGCTGTCATTTGGGTTGACAGTTTGTTTAATGGAATTTTGCTGGCTGTGGCTCCATCTTTTTTTTTTTTAAGAACTAAATTCCCAAACCAACACAAAGCACCTCACATATCTAAATAAAACAAGGTACAAAACTTAACAGTCATGAGTTTGTAGATAGATTGATGGATAGAGAGATACTTTGTTAACCCACGCACAATTTCTAGCCCAACCCCAGCAGGTGGTTTGCATCAGTATTCAACGCATATGAGCTACATGTGTCACAGGCAGGAAGAATCTGGCAACATAAGTGTGATTGTAATTGTATTGACTTTATTAAACCACTAAATTGGTTCATATTCCATGCAGTACCTTTAAACAAAAAGGATGAAGTAATTTTTTTTGGAAAGCTTAAGTGCCATAGATGGATCTGCATGAATGAATCACATGCTGAGCCAGAGGATAACCATGCGAGTTTAGTAATATAAAAGCTTTAGTGTATGGGCTGAACTTGGGCCAACTTCCCCTTTGGAAACATAAATAAACGTCCCCAGCCTTGCATCCTGCGCACAACACTGAAGCTAATTATCTGATTTTGAGCATACAAATGAACAGTTTCCCCTGGACGCTTTTATGACAGTAACACCCAAAAATATGATTACAATAAAACCAGAAAGAGTACAGTGAGAATGAGGTCTGGTGATGGCTTTCGGAAAATATTTGTTTTTATGGAGCAATTATCACCTAAACGAGTTGGCAGCAGCAGAGTCATAACGATAACTGTTAACAGAGTTGACTTTATAACAGCACTATGGACGCACTGTGGCCAAGAGCGGCGAGCGCAACACGAGACGGCGTCAAGGGCAGCTGTAGGGAACAAATGTGCAGTTGGGCTATTTACAGATATTACAGCTTTGTGATTGCACATATTCAATCATTTACTGTAGTGGCAGGAGAAAGAACTAAAGAAAGACACAGGATCGTGAGAGAGTCAAATAACCCAGATGACAGATGATACATTAGATAACATGTTTCAAATGTATTTTCAAATTCAACATTTTCCCCTTTTCCCATATGTTTTGTTTGAATTATGTACGGCAACATTTTTCATCATTCTGAAACAACATTAAACTAGCAGTATGTAAGATTGTCATGTCAAGTCATCATTAAATGGGCCTAATCTGTCGAAAGGCATAAATAAAACATGCTCTTTTTGAATACTTCTTTAACTAATAACAGTTGAATTTCACAATTAGTTTTACAGCCCCTAAATCTTGTTGTTGTTTTCTTTTTGATGTCCCGCCCTCTACCGTTTTACCAATCCCGTGATCCGGGTTGCCAGATCTCACCGCATTGAGCAAATCTCACTGGTAAAGTAAGATGTGGGCACAGAACTAAAAAAGGTCTTGTTATGATTCTCAAATCATTAATGACAAAACATGGAATAAAACAAGAATTTCCATCGAGGCCTCTGTGAAAAAGGTGTTGGTTATAGATTTGTTGTTGACAAAACTCTTGTCTATTCAGATATTATGGTCCCAGCTGGATTCATCTGCATACCTGGCAACCTGAGTCAGGGAGAGTGGGAGAGGCTGCAGTACCACTTTTGACCAGATTTTTACATTGTGCTCCTTTGAGAAGTGAAACTTTTCTTTACTGTACTTAAGTATTTCCTCCTGGTATCAGTTCTTACTTGAAAACTTTTACTCCTTACTATTAAACCCAAATATCTGTTATTTCTCCTACTTACCACGCTTCTAAGTTCAGATAAGAATAGTTCAGATAGTATGTTCTACATGTTGTGTTTATGGTCATAATCTCTGCCAGTATGAAACATTTCAATAACAGCAAAATGTTGTTTAAATGTTTCAAAAGATATGCCTCAAAATAGATATTCCACCTGTTAATTATTCAACCGAAATGTACTTTGTATTCTACTTAATTTACTTACTTTTGAGTCACTGGGTCAAATATGCAAAATGCTGCACTTTTTTGTTGCAAAAGTTTCAAAAAGCCCCTTATATCTTCAACATTGTACAACCAGTGGAGTGGCTGTACAGTGAATGCATGAAATAATTGTGGATGAAAGTAAAAGTTCTTCAAAGCCGCTGCTCACACACAGACAGACTCTAACTCTTGTTAGAGCAGGAGGCTGTGGCGATAAGAAGTGCAAAGTGTAAAGAAGTCTGCTTTCAGTTAGCGTGCATATGTTCCCCACACGTCTGCACTTCGGCCCTTTTATTTCTTCAAAACCGCCGTAAAAAACTCACACTTGGCGCGGCCTATTATATAAACGCTAACACTATAATGACATGATGGTAGCGCCGCGCTCGCTGTTGCCTTATTACGGGCATGTGACTGTGGCTCCGGGTGGTTTCGCCGCCTCTCCGCCCTCCAGGCTTATCACCCAACGCTAAACTAAAAACTGTATTCTTTATAACACGTCAATATTGTGGCCTATTGTAGAAATGATTTAAATTGTCGTGAATTGTGGCTAGGTCAGACGATACTCTTTTCCCTTTTGTCCTTTCGCGAGTGCCCTGAGAGGAGAGCAAAGTGATACAGTGGGATCCTAATTGGGGAGAAGGTTTTTTTGTGAAAAGATGGATAGGTTTTTGCCTGCGTCTTGTCAAGGTGCTTTGGACAATAGACGGTGAGAGCGTGAGGCCGACTGGGTAATTGATGGGTGTAAGTTGATCTTAATTGTTGGGTGATGGATAGAGGGAGGACACTTACAGAGGTAGATACATGAGATGACGACTCGCATTCCTGCACCCGTCCCGTCGCAGACTTCACCCGCGGCAATGGGGCTGCTCCACATAACACAAAGGAGAGACAAAAAACAGTTGCATAATGTTAGACCGTTAAGCTGTGCTCATAAGTTTACACACCCTGGAAGGATTTAGGATTTCTCCGACGTTTTTCAAAGAATATGAATGATACAGTTTCTTTTTCTTCTCATGGTCAATGGTTGAGTGGAGCCATTAATGTCAAGGATGGTAAAAGCTGAGGAACTATTGCTGCGAACCAAAAAATCAGCAGTGTATGTAAACTTTTGAGCTCGGCCATTTGGGTAGTTTCTTTTATTATTGAACGAGAGAGAGATTCTGTAGGTACCATAAATGTGATATGAAGTGGAGCCCTGAGAGGCAAGGCAAGTTTTTTTTTCTTTAATCCCACAGTTCGCACTTAACTTTATGAGATATAGAGGATTGCTAAAATCAATAACAGAGAAAAAATATGTACAAAAAGTGTAAGGGTGAGGGAAGCCAGGTCTCTCAGTGTAAAACAGATTATTACCCGACTTACTAAGGAAGAGCTATATCAAAGGTTTTAATGGAACTTTTGATGTGGAAAAAAAGTGTATATTTTTGGGTATTTGACCATGTAGTGACCAAGTGTCTGCAAGAGTGGTCTTAACTTTTGAACTGGTAGTGTCTGCTGTGCTCCAGGATCAATTGTTCTGTCGGTTTTTGATGCGGGGGTCCTCCAGTATAGAAAACTTTCCAAAAATTTGATCTCAGGGCTGTAATATTAGCTCAGGAGACCACTGTGATTGAAATAAAAGGCACCATGCTGGACAAAAATTCCAACATTTAGGAGTTAATTTTCCAAGAAGGAGTGAAACTTAATTTGTATGGCACTAAAACAGATCTGGCTTTTCAAAACACGACTTGGTAAAGGGAAAAATGCATCTTTGACATTATTTAACTTGTTTGGATTGACATAGTTCCACAGACAGATCCCCTACACTACTTGTGGTCTTTTGTGATTCAAGAGTTTGTGTTTAGCATTAAAACTCACAGGAGATGTCAGGTACAGCTTGTTCCAATACGTGAGCCCGGTGATCCTCCTCAGATTTGTCGGATAAAGAGTCTCCCTGGAGCCTGCAGACATGTAACACAACTGTGACCATTGTTACACTGCGCACCAGCCACAACAGCCACAACAGCAGTGTGTGTTTGGAGCTGGACACAAGATCAGCTGCAGGATCAGAGAGAGGAAGTGATCAGGGAGTCCCAGATGCACCAGATACTGCACAAGAAAGAAGGAAAGACTTGTTGAGTATAGTGAGGGACAGTGTGGGAACAAAACTAAAACTTCAATTCAACTACATTTTACAAAGTTGTTGAGTATTTGTTTTAATGAGAAAATAGTAATTGTGCCTTTCTGTCTTTGTCTCTATCTCATTGTGTTTGTTTGTGAATTTTAAGTCCGTACCTATTTTGTATGTCTATATTTTCACTATAAAAACGTTTTTTTTTCTTTTAATTAAGTAATTGACTTTAAAGATCTAGGTTAAAATTGAAACATGAAAACAATACAGATGTTACTTTGGTTTTGTTTTCAGCACATTTACCTTCTCTTGCACAAGGATAGTTTACATGGAGATTTCAGCTGTTCACATGTATTACAAATGTATCTTATAATGGGCCTTACATCACACACCTCTTACTTAAAGCTGGAGTAAATACAGATATTTTTTCAAACATTTACATTGTGTTTGTCCCAACAGAAAGACTCTAGTTAAAACTAAAATGTGGTGAACAGATTATACCACAACATGCTGTCTTTGTATAAATATATTTATTTGTATACATGCACACACACACAGTATTTTCTATTTTGATATTTAAAAATCCCGGGGAAGACCCAGGACACACTGGAGGGACTATGTCTCTCAGCTGGCCTGGGAACGCCTTGGGGTCCCCCCGGACAAGCTGGAGGAAGTGTGTGTGGATAGGGAAGTCTGGGCGTCTCTGCTTAGACTGCTGCCCCCGCGACCCGGCAACGGATAAAGCGGAAGAAAATGGATGGATGGATAGATATTTAATGATTTTACTGATTTACTATGGACTTTGGAGTCTGTATTTATGAAATGTGCTAAATAAATAAAGTGGATTGGATTGTCTACATCTTATCATTTATCCCTTATCCTTTTACATACTTGTAAGAAAGAGCCGTGTAAATCACTATTCGACACTTCGGGCTGAGAGCTGATTGGCTGAGTGAAGGTGGTCCTCTCGCTGTCAATTTTTTTTTACTGAAAAAGCAGTGACAGAGGCCACAATAAGCATCCATGTGGAAACTAGTGATAACCAAACTAGTGGTGAGAGCGAGGAAATGGTCAACTGGATGTTATGACAGTTCTATTCTTGTGCTTTTAAAGTTAGGTACCCTAGCTTTAAGTTTACAGACATTTTGCTGCTCAATACATAGAGCATTTACCTCTAAAGGTTCTGTTTCCAGTTCATTTTGATTCTAGTTCCCACCAGCCCCAACCCGCAGCTGTCTGATCCATGTGATACTAATGCATGTCTAAACATATGGTGAGAAGTGGGGCGCACAACTCTCCAAAACATCTCTCACTGAAAAACTACTGCACAGAACAGAGGCTCACATTCCACTTCCCTTTTGTTCCAGACCACTATAGTTGTTTTGAAATGAAATAGATTTAAGTTACTTGTACAGAAAAACGTCCGAACCACAAGCACAGATCACAGGTCATTTGAACTGGAAACAACAAAAAACGATTATGAATTCAATACTAATATTAAGGCGGTGTAGGTTGCAGAAGCAGAAGCATGCTCGCCTCGCCTTCTGTCAGGCTGGACTTAAAGCTGGGGTGCGTAACTTTTTCCCTTAACACTTTATAATGTTGTATAAGCGATACAAAAATAAATGTAACTGAATTTGAAATTGTAAATATACAACATATGGTAAAACCTGGGCAAATAATGTTGCTTGATTGTATATTTACGTTTATATATTTGCATGTGTAGCTATATACTCGGGCGTATACACAGTAGGCAACATGTACAAAAGGTCATGTAAACAAAGGAATGTGAATATTTTAAATACTTATGGATGTAAAATTACTGCTTGAATGAATAAAATATATCAAAATCCATCAACGGAATTAAAACGTTAAAAAAAGAGCCCTGTGAGTCACTATTGGATGCTTTGGGCTGAGAGCTGTGTAAATATGTGTAAACTAGTGTTAGAACCAAATTTTCCAGTTTTGAAAGCTAGTGATGAATTAAGATGAATTTTATTCTCATTAGTTTTCATTAATATGCGTTGAAAGTTTGGTACCCCAGCTTTAATAGTGTCAAAGACAGGCTTCACCCACAATACTAATGGAAAAATATGATATGTTGCACAGATGGAAGGAACTTTTTCAGCCGCTATTCATAAATCATAACAAAACGACATAAAAAGGCAAACAATGATTATTTATTATGTGGTAGAATTCTGACAAAAATCCCACAAGATTCACTTATGTTTTAAAGTGAAAAACATACATTTATTTCAAAGGGTTTTCCATCGTTTCATACATATCTCTCCTCATCGACTTTTCTTTAATGTTTGCCCCAAGCTGCCCAAGATGACTATCAGCCCGTCTTAAAGTCCTTTACGGCCGCTGCTATTCTTCCAGTGCATTCCTGATATGAAAGCAATTAATGTAATGAGAAGAACAAGCCCCAAAGGGAAGACTTTATATTCTGCCGTTTCCTCAGACTGTTCTCCTGCTCTGGACCCAGGGCTGGAGCACACATCGGGTGGTTTTGTGGTCAGCAGCCGTTCAAAAAGAACCAACAAAAAGAACAAACCACAGCAGACAAGAGGCGGCCCACAACACTCAGGCCACACTGCACTTAACACGTGGGTAAAGCGGCGGTGAGCCAGAGGAGGGTTAGAGGAGGGCCAGAAGAGGGCCGAGGAGGACCAGAAGAGGACCAGAAGAGGACCAGAGGAGGTCCAGAGGAGGGCCAAAGAAGGACCAGAGGAGGGCCAGAGAAGGGACAGAGGAAGGCCAGAGGAGGACCAGAGGAGGGCAAATGAAGGCCCAGAGGAAGGCCAGAGAAGGGCCAGAGGAGGGCCAGTGGAGGAAAGGAGGAGGACCAGAGGAGGGCCAGAGGAAGGCCAGAGGAATACCAGAAGAGAAAGATCAGATGAGATTCAGAGGAGGACCAAAGGAGGGCAAAAAAAGGATCAGAGGAGGGCATAAGGAGGACCAGAGGAGGGCCAGACGAGGACTAGAGCAGGGCCAGAGGAGGGCCAGAGAAGGGCCAGAAGTGGAGCAGAGAAAGATCAAAGGAGGACCAGAGGAATACCAGAAGAGGAGGATCAGATGAGATTCAGAGGAGGAACAAAGGAGGGCAAAAGAAGGGTCAAAGGAGGGCAAAAGGAGGACCAGAGTAAGGCAAAAGAAGGACCAGAGGAGGGCAAGAGGAGGAGGGCCAAAAGCTTCTTTGTTTTGCTAAATGTAGATATTGTTGTTGTATTATTGTTCACTTTTCTTGTGCTGTGCTCCTCATTCCTACTGTTCTGGGGATTGCAACACTGAAATTTCCCCACTGTGGGATGAATAAAGGATCTCTTAATCTTAATCTTAGAAGAGGGTGAAAAGAGGGCTAGAAGAGGCCAGACCAGGATGTGCAGCTCTCCACTTGTTTGCTGATGTGGATGGTAGTTTGGACAGGAGCACACAGACCCGAGAACAACAGCCACACGGAGCCCAGATCAAAAGGAAACAGCGATGGAAAGTACAAGCTGACATGCACGGTTTACACAACAAGAGGAGGACAAATTGAGGGCACTTGAGCCAGAATTTTTACAAAAGAAACAAAATAAATTTGAGCAAAGAATTCAAATGTTTTTAAATACATGTCATTATTTTGTGAAGCTTGAGTCAAATATGGCATTGGGCCGGGTGACTTCACTTGATAGAATATTAATTGTACGTCTGATTATGTCTGGTGGTTTTTTACATCAAATACAAAGGACACACTAATAAACAGGAGAAAATATGTTTTCAATATTCAACACATGCACGCAGTGAATTCTGAGTTTGGCACATGCACACGGATTAGGGAATAGAGAGTAAAAATGCAAAGATAGTCATTAGGTTTAATGAGATAGAGGACCACTAAGATCAAATGAAAAAGATTTTGAAAATATTGTACAGGCCCATTTGTGGGAAGATTCATGAGCTTATACTTTGGCGCCAAAAGGGTTAACAGTTGAAAAATGATTTAGTGTAATAAATGTCATCGTAAAATCCACGTACACGACTTTAGGTTTAGTTGGAATGCATATATAAATTAGGGAATAGAAGCTTCACTATAGCATAACTCCTCATGAGCAGCTTTCTCTTGCTCCTTGTTACTGGTTACTGAGGGAAGCTGGAGTTCCCCCGGCAAATAATCTGATTGGTCCATCCTTCTCAATGTAAGTTAACAGGAGTCAGTGCGAATTGAAGCAAAACTGTGTCTATGAGCACTTCCCTATTGGGATTCTTTGAACTAGGGGGTTAGCACTGTCCATATATATACACTATCTATGGTTGAATTACAGAAATAAATGACCTTATTAACGATATTATAATTTTTCTAAGTTTTCACACACGTTGTTGCCACCATATAGCAAACGTTGTCATCGGCGCCACTTCTCTCGTCCTGCTCTTTTGAAAGAATCATCTGCACAAGCCCGACTTCCAACCTAAAGTGCCGGTAAGTGCAGTGGGGTGAGCTGTAGCGGCTTGCACACTGAACCTGCCTGTGTGCGATGAAATGGTTCTGGGTGGGGGTATGTGAGGAATGCCTGTGCGACCTGAGGCTGTGTGCATGGGCCCAGTCACTCTGCTCTATTGTTGTAGCTGGTACGTGATACAAGGGGACTGCTGCTTCATGTCCGAGCTGTACTTAACACCCCATGTACACGCTGTACGTCCACATGCAGAGGAAAGACACGGTCCAGGGACACATGTGCGCACCAGCCCTCCGCCCGGACCTCCAGTGGATGCTGTGTGCTTGCATGCTGGAGAGTTTAACCTGCAGTGCGTTTGGAGATCTCACATGATGATGAGATAATCTGTTGGCCG